CCGCCGCCGCCGCGCGCGCTGCCTGCTGTCACAGCCAGGGAGCGTCGCCGAACCCGCCACCGCGCACCACTGCTTTCACCTCCGGGGAGTGTCACCAAACGCCCTCCCTGTGTCCACTGCCACAGGGTCGGGGAGCTTGATGGGCCGAGACAGTAGGGCTTCGGGGACCGTCGGCCAAACCCAGGAACGGGGAGGGCGCGGGCTCCGCCCGCTCCAGCCATCCTAGCCATTGCGCAACTTGGGGCGTTTGCAAAAACCACATTTGGGAGGTCTTGGCCGCTACTCGGCGGACAGACACGCCCCTGAGAACCGGGCGGGCGGTGGGCGGCAGAGCGGGAATAGGGAATTAACCAGTGAGTGGAGGCGGGCGCCTGAGAGCGTGCGGGGCAATAAGTGGCTCTGAGAGCGCCTCCAGGGCGCAGTCGCGGTCCGGCAGGCCGCTCAGCGGCGGCGGCACTTTCCACCCGCTCCCTAGGCCTAGCCCCGCCTCAGCCCCGCCTCTCCCCGGCAGCCTGCAGGGAGCGCGCAGGCGCAGGCACGGTGGGCGTGGCCGGCCTGAGGACACGTGGGGCGCTACCCTTGGGTCCCTCCGGCGCAATGCGCTCAGTGCGGGCGCGCTACCTCGTGTATTTCCAGTACGTGGGCACTGGTTTTAAGTACGTATCCCGGCCTTCCCCCGACATCCGTCACCTGGCTAGCAGGAAAGATGCGACCCGGCCGGGGAGAGCTCGCGGGGGTTAAATCCAGGGTCAGCGGGCAGACAGGGTGGCCCAGGTACAGCTTGCCCAACTTTCGGGCCCAGGAAATGCTTTGTTTGGCCTTAGGGCGGGGTGGGCAGGACGCGATGGCCTTCATCAGGTAACCCCACTCGCCTCTGTCCGCAGTGGAGTCGCTGCCGTCAGAGGCTCCCAACGTGCCATTGGAGTGCAGAACTACCTGGAGGTGAGGTCTGCCCGGCTGGGAGGGAGACAACTCCCTGGGAGGCCCCGGTGGGAGCCTGGGGATGTGTCCCCTGCGGCCCTGGCCCTAGCTCCGCTGCCCCAAAGTTTTGTCGCAGCAGGAGGCCGCAGAGCGACTGAACTCAGTAGAGCCAGTCAGGTTCACCATCTCCAGCCGTACCGATGCGGGAGTGCACGCGCTGAGCAACACGGCACACCTGGATGTCCAGCGCCGCCCGGGCCAGCCGCCCTTCTCACCCGAGGTGGTGGCCCAGGCCCTCAACACTCACCTGAGGCACCCAGCCATCAGGTGAGCCCCCAATCTGAGCATGGTTATCCTGTGCCCTACTCTTCCTTGACACCCGTGGTCCACGGTGGGTGGAGGCTGGAAGTCCAGACTGGGCAGAACCTGGAGGTGAAGGAGCAGGCACTGAGGTGTCACCTGGATATGTGGGTGGGGTTATTCCTTGCTGAGCCTGAGCTGCTGCCACAGGGTTCTGCAGGTCTTCCGTGTGCCCAGTGACTTTCATGCTCGCCATGCAGCTACCTCTAGAACCTACCTGTACCGTCTGGCCACTGGCTGTCCTGGTCCTGACCAGCTGCCTGTGTTTGAGCGAAACCTTTGCTGGGCTCTTCGAACAGAGTGAGTGTGGGTAAATGCAAGTCAGGAGGAGGGGGCTCACAAGGCCCCTTGCTGGGCCTTCCCTCCTGACTGCTTGCCTGGTGTGCTGCAGCTGTCTGGATGTACCTGCCATGCAGGAAGCTGCCCAGCACCTCCTGGGGACACATGACTTCAGTGCCTTCCAGTCAGCTGGCAGCCCGGCTGCTAGCCCAGTTCGCACACTGCGCCGAGCCTCAGTATCCCCTGGCCCCACCAGTCCCTTTGTCCTCCCCCAGGAAAACAGGTGAGGAAGAGTTTTGCACTGTGGTCCTACCTGGTGCCACTTGGGAGGCCACCAGGGCTAAATGCAGCTCCAGAACCTCTCCCAACAAAGACAGGGCAGCACTCCCCCACCACTGCCTGGGAGTTGGGGACAGAGTATTACCCTCCTCTTGAGAACCTTTGCCTGCCCAGAGCTCTGCCCAGCAGATAGGTTTTGGCAGCCATTGAAAGGTTTCACTGGGACTAGTGGTTCCAGCCCAGCCTGGGTTCCACTGCCCTCAGCAGGCCTCCTGCAGAGGGTGGAGACAGTTGTTGACTTCTAGAACCTTCCCAGTCAAGGGCAGCCCCAAGGGAGACTTCTGCATAGTCAGGCAGGAGAGCACCAGGCCTAGGGGTTGGGTGTTGGCAGTAAGCAGGCTGTGCTCCCCCTCTGAGCATCGCCATCCTAGTGGTCTCTCCATGTGAGGGCCCTCGGTACATTGCTACTTCACACGGGTTGTGACTGCTTTTGCTTCCTTTCCATGGGCCCCTCCTGGGGACGGGTGGTAAGTGAGGGCTAGTACTTGGAGAGCTGACAACTAGTCCCCGTTCCCAACCTGTCAACAAACACTCTTGTCTGAAAGCACATGGTGGGATTGGGTGGCTGGGACTGGCCTTCGGCTTGGATATCACAGGCACCTTTGTCCTAGGAAGCTGCACTTCTGGACTCTGGAGTTCGAGAGCCAGTCTTTCCTGTACCGACAGGTGGGCTGTCCTGGGTCCTCCTGGGGTGGGCCAAGGCAGACCCCTGTAGCAGCTTCATTCTGGGTTGCAGGTGCGAAGGATGACAGCTGTGCTAGTGGCTGTGGGGCTCGGGGTTTTGACACCCACCCAGGTGAGGGTGATTCTGGAGAGCCAAGATCCCCTAGGCAAGTACCAGGCCCACCCTGCTCCAGCCCATGGGCTGTTTCTGAAGTCAGTGCTGTATGGAGGCCTCAGGGACCTTGGTAAGAGGCAGCACCACCCATCCAGGCTGGGTCTTCCCTGGGGGAGGGGGATCTTGAGGTCAAGATATAGAAACCTGCTGTCCAACACATAGAAACCCAGGTACCCAATGGGAAGGCTGCAGGAGGGGACCTGGATTGGCCAAAGGATACCCAGCTGGAGTGGAGTTGCCACAGCATGGGATTCAGAGCCCTGTTTTCAGGCCCCTTGAGCAAAATCCCTGGGGTGGTGGCTCTAGGGTGACCCCCACCCCAGGCTGACCTAAAGTCTATCCACAGGTCCTGCCTCCTGCACCCTGCAGGGTCCACAGTATGGAAATGAAGACCCTGGCCACAGAACCCTAGGTCTGGCTGTTGAATCTGGTCATCTTGATCAATATACATAGCACATCCACCTCTTTTTGCTTCCTTTCAATCTCAGCCTCCCCAGAGTCCCTGCCACCCTGGACCACCCCCCTCTGCCCTTGAGGAGGCTGACACAGATTGGGGTGCAGGAAACAGGTGTAAGCACCCAAATGTCCCTGGTTCTGCTTTTCCAGGAATATTACCCCTATCTTCCAGGGGCCTGGGAGCAAGAATAAAAGGTGAGGAGACCCCTGAGGCTTGTTTATTGACAGAGGTATCCACTTAGGCCAGCTGTATCTCTGGCCTTGTCCTAGAACAAGTTCTGCAGCCAGCCTGGCCATGGGATCTGCTCACACAGAGCACCCAGAATCCAGGAGTGGAAGCTGAGTTTCTCCTGCTGGGCACAGTGAAAGGCAGAAGTGAAAGCCTGGGTGGTCAGTGCATCAGCTGGGGGCCTGGGGGAGACCCTTCTTGAGCAGTGCCGTGAGGAAGCTCCCCAGCTCCTCATCCTACAAAAAAGGCGAGAAGGCCGTCACCCTGCTCCAGGCAGCACAGGCTGCCAAGGGAGAGAGCCCACCTACCCTTCCCAATGGGGCACTGGCGATTCCAACCACCTACCTGGTATGTCCAAGAAACTAACAGCACCTTGGTGCCTGGGTCCTCAGAGTGGGCAGCAGCCTGGATAAGGATAGACTCCACCGTCACAGAGCCATCAGGGAGGTGCTGTACACAGTGGTCCTTCAGGGTGCTGTGGAGAGGCACAGTGAGACCTGCCTTACCCAGGTGGAGGGGGTGGGGTGGAGAGGAAGGCCAGGCACACCTTTTGAGGTGGCTGTAGACTCGCAGGGCTGTCTCCTGTTCCTTGCGGGTGTCCTGCAGGTGCACACGGCAGGTGAAGCGCAGCTGGTGCTCGGCCAGGCCTAGCTCCTTGAGGGCTTGCTCTGAGGATACCAGCCGGAAGCTCTGTGGGGCAGGGATAGGTCAGGACAAGTAGGGGTTCTACCCCCAACCTCCATCCACACACTCACACTGTCCTTCATGATCAGGGTGCCATGCAGTAGCCGGGGCTTCTTGGCCTCAGGAAGTAGCCCTGTGAGAAGAGTGTGGCTATCAACATGTGTCACCCACTCACCAGCCACCCTGCCTGGTGCCCAACCTGCCTCTCATACCCTGCGCCATCTCCCGCTTCAGCAGTCCCAGAGAAATGCCCACAGGGATGCTGGGGCTCGTAGGCAGCGTCACCGTCTCACCGTTGGCTGGCATGTAGCAGCTGACCCCTGGGGGTAGAGATGGTGCAGACAGAACCTCAGTCTGAGCTGGCCAGTCCTGTCTGCACCAGTCCCAGGGGTGAGCCCTGCTTGGTGACCCTCTGCAGCGCCCCATGGCCACCTACGGAACTCCTGCTCAATCTTCTGCCGGAGGAACTCCATCTTCTTGGCCTCCCCATGCACCAGCAGCACACGCTCTGGCTCTGCCTGCCCCACCAGCTGCATGATGCCCTTGGCGTCAGCGTGGGCGCTGAACGACATGTACTCCACCTGCATCTTCACCTCCAGCTGTAGCACCAAGGTACAGATGTCAGTGCCAGGGGGCCACTGTCCCCAAGCCCATGGGCGAGGATGAAGACTCACCACCTGTCGTCCTTCCATCTCCAACTTGCGCTGCCCACTGAGAATCTTGTGGCCCACAGTGCCCTGCACACAGTAACCAGGCATAATGACCTGTAGGGCAAGGATAAGACTCAGCCATGTGGCCACCCAGCTGCGTACACACCAGGGCTTCCACCTGGAAGTGGAATACCCCCACTGGAGGAGGCTGCTTCCACTCAGCCAGCTGCAGACCTTGGGGGACCAGGCCCAGAGCCCACCATCACGGCTGCTCAGTTCCCCAGGTCTGAGCTGCCCGAGTTGGACACTAGCACCCCCACCATCAGTGACCTCAGACCAGCCTAAAGCCAGGTCCATGGGCAGCTTGGGGACAGGGTGGGTAAAGAACCATCCATCTGCCCTCTAGCTGTAGGGAGCTCCTGTGGCCACCTCTCAGGAGCTGGCCCTGGGCCCAGAGCCCTCACCATGTTCTTCTCATTTCCTGCCCACTTTCGGAAGATCTGCAGGGACTGGCCAGCATGCAGCATCCCTGGCGTGGCAAACACAACCTAAGGGATGGATGAGGGTGGTCAGGGCAATAGACTCCTTGCCCAGCCCCACCACAGGCCCCAGCTTCTGACCAGGAATCCTCTGTGCCTGACATGGGATGCTGCCCACAGGGTCTAACCATGGGGCCTGGGTTGTCAGCAAATGCCCGGTCGAAGGCTTTGATATGCTTGAATTCAAACATATTCCTCTGAACAAAGGTCTTCCGAATCTTCTGGTTGGTCCAGGTGATGAAGAGCTTGTAGTAGTGGTTGGCCTTCTCCGTCAAGCCCGTGGAGAAGTAGATGGGCACTTTCAGGTTCATGCGTTCCCTGTGGGCCCACCGACCTGGTTAGTGGTCACTGCCAGGGTCAGCCTGGGCCATGTCACTCATGCCCTTCACCTCACAGCTTGGCCAGAGTCGAGGAACTGAGCTCCCAGCTCTCTCCACCCCAATGACCATCAGGCCAGTACCTGCAGCCTGTGTCCTATTGTTATAGAACATCTACAGTGTCCCAGAGCTTGTGTGGCAAGTTTAGAGCTAGACTAGAGACCCTGAGACCAGCTACCAATGACGTTGATGATGCTGGCCTGCAGGTACATGGCCAGCTCCACCCACCAACACTGAGCAGGGCCATGTCGCTGGCACCCTAACCATGGGGCTCCAATAGTGGTCTGTGCTGCCTTGACTTTTCAGGCCACCTCCCACCCAGGCTGCACAGGCCATGTGCCCCCCCGCTACCCTCAGGTCAGGAGTAGTCCTCTCTGCACCTACCAGAAGGTCTCCAGCAAGATGCAGAGCTCCTGAGCACGGCCCAGTGCAAACACAGGGATCAGCACCTGAGGGAGGTGAGGCCAACTCAGGTGGAGCCCCTGGCCATGCCACCCACACCCAGCATAGCAGGTGATAACTTGCTCATTGTGCCTATCTTTGTGAGACTGTGCTGGCTGATTTCAGTGGTCAAAGGCAGTATCCAGTCAGAGGCATGGCCCAGGCCCCCACCCTGCACACAGCCTGGTTCCCAGCCACGAGTAGACAGCAGGGGCCATGGGATGCTCTGGATAGCCCTTCATCCAATCTGAAGCCGGGGAGCTGCCATCTCCTAGGAAAGGTTCTTCAGGGTTTTTCTCCTCAGTGCTAAATAAGCAGCACCCCACCACCACCCCCCAAGACCTGACACACATCAGGGTGGCAGGGCCTGCATAGCTGGGTGGGGCTGGCTTCCATCCCAGAGCAGACACAGCTACCTTCCCGCCACGCTCCACTGTCTCGTGGACTTTCTTCAGGAAGTCTCGCTCGCGGCAGCGCTTGGAGTCCCGGATGGTTGTGGCATAGGTGGACTCCGTGATGAGCAGGTTGGGACGGCACTTGTCAATCCAAGCAGCACTATAATGGGTGGGTGTGGCTGGTAGTGGACTGTCCCAGCCCCACTCACAGCCACCTTCCTGAACCACTCTGCCAGCAGCCTGCCCCTCTCCTAGATCCAGTTGTACGTCACGGGCAGCACCCTCAGAAGGGCTGGTAGAGGCCCCAGCCTAGACCTGTGCCTTCCTGCCTCTGGGTTCCCAAGGTTAGGGCTCTCCACACCACATACGAAACTTGTTGGGGACACCAATGCGCTGACCGCTCAGGTGCCCAGCACCACCACACCACAGGTCTCTAGTCCAGAAGGAACCCACAGGATGAAGCACAGAGGCCTACTTACCCCAAGTGGCGGTCCGGGGTCATATTATAATCACCCTGGCAAAGAAGGCAACAGTGAGGAGGGTCTCCCAACCCCAGGCAGCCTTGCTGAACCACAGGCCCCTCCACTAACCGTGTAGACCACAGACTCTGAGCCCACTTTGATCTGGAACATGGCTGCCCCCAGCACATGGCCCGCGTAGTAGGCCTTGATCTCTAGCTCATCATCCACCTGCAGAGAGAACAGAGGGTTGAACTTGGGCCTACAGGTGCAGGGCAGGTGCAGATGAAGTCAGCATCTCCCAAGTCTCCCACCAACTCCATCCCTCATGCAAAAGCCACCACAGGAGGTGAGGCAAGCTGGAGAGCAACAGAGGTGGCAGTTTAAAGCCTGCAAAGTTCCTAGACACTGTTCCAGACAACATGGCTTTAGGTGTCCTCTCAGTTCCCAAGAAGGGGATTCTCCAGGCCTGTGTGGCACAATACATACTGACCACTCAGGTGCCCAGTACCACACCACAGGCTCTGGTCCTGAGGAACCCCACAGACCCTTACCTCCCCAGAGAGAAAGAGGCAGGACTAAGAATAGAGGCAAAGTCCAAGAAACTACACAAGAGTGAAGATTCTAATAACCTAAATGAATTCAGTAGGTGAATTTACCAACACATTGAAGAAAACAAGGGCTGGGGTTATGGCCCAGTGGTAGAGCACTTGCCTAGCACATGCGAGGCACTGGGTTTGATTCTCAGTACCACATTAAAAAATAAATAAAAATTTAAAAATGAACAAATTTATTAAAAACAAAAACAATGGGCTAAACTTTGAGGGTGAAACAGCATGAAGCACAAGACAGAAGGATAGAGGAGGCAGAAGACACCCCAAGGGCTGAGAAATCGGCACGCAGGCCACAGCACAGCCAGGACCCACAGGAGAACAGCAGACAGAGGTGTGGGGAGTGTGGGACGAGAGACTGTTAGCCTGGCCTTTCCTCATGAGGGTGGCCCTGCAGGAGCCTCAGAGGACAGGACCATGACAGCAGTAGAGGAGGGACATTCCTGTGCTGCAAGCTGCAGTCTTGCAATCAGAGCCCACAGGGGTGGCCCCAGACAGCTACCCAGGCCTTCCTTCCATTAAAATGGGTCCTTCTGGGCTGGGGTTGTGGCTCAGTGGTAGAGCGCTTCCCTGGCAGGTAAAAGGCCCTGGGTTCAATCCTCCTCAGCACCACATAAAAATAAATAAATAAAACAAAGTCCAACTACAACTAAAAAATTTAAAAATTTTAAAAAAAAGGGGGGGGGCCGCTTTTGAACACAGACCTTTCTTTCCCAGACTCAGAAAGAGAATCCCAAGTAGGGTGCAAGAATCCAGTCTCTAAAATCCCAGCGGCCCAGCCTGCAGTGGTGGGAACGTTCCCATTCCTCATGAGCACACCT